TGTACCAAAAATATTCCTAAAAAGTGAATTAAAATTGTAGGGGCATATATTTTTTTCCATTAGTTATTCTAGTCTTCATTGAATTATCAACTTAACTCATCTTCTTAAAAAGGAAGACATGCATGTTTAAGTAAAAAATTAAAAGAAATATTGAGAGAGAGAGAGAGAGAGAGAGAGAGAGAGAGAGTGAGAGAGAGAGAAGACTGCCTTACTTACCTGTTTTTCTAACATCTATTTCCAACTCCCATCAGAAAAACCACTATTTTCTATTAATTTTTGAAGATAATTCTAAACATTTCCAAAGTTTACCCTTTTCATAAAATTATAGCATGAAGTAAAAACCATTCTGTATCTTGATTTTTTTAATGTAAGGATCATTTCTTATCAGTTCATGTAAACTGACTTATTCTTTTAAATGGTTATACAGTATGCTATTATGAAGATGTACCATAATAATCCTGATTATGTACACTAACTGATTTTCAATATTGTATTTTTATAAAATATACTACATTGAACATTTCTATGTGTATATCATTATCACCATTAAATGTAATTTGATAAGGGAGAATTACAGAGATCTCCTATCTTTATATTAGTATAGTAATTGAAGAGCTTTCATTTTTTTAAAATTTTTTTTAGTTTCAATGGACCTTTATTTTATTGATTTATATGTGATGCTGAGAATTGAACCCAGTGCCTCACACATGGTAGGCAAGCGCTCTGCCACTAAGCCACAATCCCAGCCCCGAAGAGCTTTCATTTTGTTGTTATAAATTTTCTTACATAAAATATGTGATTCAAAGAAGGATAAATCTCAGCTAACATTGCAGTGTGGAAACCTTCTGTTCAGTCACTTTCTATTTTTGATTCTTTAGAAGATACCTTGAAATATAAATAGAATTGGTTTATTTATTTCGTTTTTATGTCTTTTCTTGTTTGGAAAAGTATAAATTAACTTTTAGGACTTCATGCAATAAAATATAAAAATAATTAACAAGGACTAAAGGGAATAAGAGGGTTAAAATAAAACATGTTGGAAAGAGCATTAATAAACTGCAGAAATGTAAGCCATAGGAAACTAAATATGTCTTATAATTTGGCTCTTTGCCTCTAGTAGCCAAAGGAAAAATGGAAGTGTTGTTACTTAAATAATTCATGTTTTTACTAGGGGAAAAAAAAACCGCAAACTGTTATTTCAGAGAAAAAAGCATGGCTTTTACTATACATAGTTTTGAAAGACTTTCACGCAGTCCTTCACAGAGTGGGGAGTGATAGAATGGAAGGGGCCACAGTCACATTCCTGTCATGAAGCCAGTGGTGGATTTGAAAAGTCATTTTATGGAAGTTTCTCCAAAGTGAGATGAGACACTTACTTTAAAAGTGCAGTTCATGCAAGGCTAGTTTTTATTTCTAGCTGTGAAGGGTAAAAATTATAGAGATTTGTATAGACAGTTCCAAGTTAGACAACTTCAAGTTGGAATCACTAAAAATGATCCTAAAGTTTGCTGTATTATTTAGTAGGTTAAAAGCCAGTCTTTACTTATTTTATTTTTTAAATATATATTTTAAAGATCAGTCAGCAATTGATGGAGTTGGTACCCAGACATGTTGTAAATGGAGTGCAGATAGGTGTTCCTTGAGCTCCACTATAAGTGGGTTCTGTAAAGAGATATTTTAGTATCAATTTTGTATGCATTGGACTATAAGATATATATATAACCTCTTCTCCATTTTGCTATGCACCCTTTCATTTCCATGCAAATTATGGCTTGGGATATGGAGGACACATGCAAACATTGCTTCTGGGCATCATTTATACAGTGAACCTAGGAACAACAGGCTCTTTGGCCAGTCCTCATTTCTCTTATCTGCCAAATGTTTGCATGCCAGCAAATAACAAAGCCAGTGTTCATTAATAGAAAAACACACATTGCAACTCATGTTTAGTTGTATTTTTTATGTATGTTGAGTGTTTAAAGTTGATTTTATATTTTCTATAATTACTATGTTTATAGTTTCCACTGGATAAATTGTTCTAAGTTCAAATGAAAGATAGTGGTGGTTTTCAGTTCCTTTGTCCCTGGGATAGATTTTTAAACTCATTGATGAATTAAAATATTCATCATTGCTTTGTTTACAGTTTCATTTTCTAAATAAGGCAGAAGTAGTTTTTGAAACAGTTACTTTTAGGGAAGAAAGTATAAAAATATGAAGATAATGTATGAACTTGCTAGATTTCTGTTCTCTAATCTTATATTGAAGTCTGATGAATAATTATATATCTTCAATATTTATGAAGTAGTGCACCAGAAGTTGGAATCATCCAGGTTCTTACTTTACATGAACTTGTGGGTTCTGTTGTCCTGGATGTTGGTGTTACAAACATACCAAGTTGGATAACTGTGAATAGCGTTTGCAGGGCTAATACCAACTTTTTCAACAGTGAAAAACATAAAATTTAAAGTTATGGTGTGGAGAACTTTTTGGAGTCTTTGCTTTGTTCTATATGATGATTAGGGATAGGGGGTAGAACCACTTGCAATGCAAGGGCACACCATTCCTTTATGTACCTGGCATTTGTCACCTGCAAGGGAGCATATGGATTCTGCTGTGCTGCTTGCTTAGGAGCTGTGTGCCTCCAGGCTGAGTCATGTGGTAACCACATCTGCATTTCAGTCTACCGCTTCTATTATTTCCTTTCTAAAGGCTATGCTTGGTCTAATACTTGGACATTTTAGAATCTTTTAGAATAATCAAGCTGTACATAAGAAAACAGGTATATCTTTGGATTAGAAGGCTTAGTTCTTTAAGGTTTCTTATTCCTCATTTTCTTTAATGCTTTCCAAAGCTCCTGGCTGTCTCCAAACCTGTAAACCTGTTTTTAGCAAGCAAGAAAAGTTAATCCCTGAATAATTTAATTTCTGTGGTTTATATGACTTATAATTTCATAAAATTATCAGAACTCTATGAATTTTAACAACATATAGTTAAGGGTATAATATCCCTGAGGCCCCTCAGAGGAATGGAAGCTGTGGTTGTAGGGCAAGCTGCAGGAGGGAGTTCTAGAGTTGTAAGTTATAACCAAATGGCTTTGCTGGCTATGTTGTGTGAGTTTACTCAGGTCATTATTCTATAATGGCTATAGGGGAACAAATTATCATGGAAAAAAAAGGGGTAGATTTTTCTGGATATATGGTACTAATGAATTCCATTTTAGAGGTGCTTGTGGTGCACTGAACCACACAGAGACACACAGACATGCACACAGACACACAAAGAAAAGCATGCATGCAAAGCGTTTATTTTTGGCACCTTTACAAAAATTGTGATGATCATTGCCTAGGAAAATTTCCTTATCCACCAATAGAGACTAGACCCCAGACTGTGTGGAAGCAATTTATTCCAAGTTTAACATTTAAAAAAAAATTTTAAATACAGTTTTATATAGTTTTAAAATGCAAATTTTAAAATATGATATACTGGCTAAAATTTTATGCTAAAGTTTTAACAGGCATACATATTTCTACTATAAAATTTACCAAATTTGTGTATATCCAGGCTAATTTATGTTAAGTAGGAAGAAATGTGACCCAACTTTAAGATATTATAAGGAAATAAACTATATAGAACTGTTTGTCGGCCTGGTACTAATACAGCTAGTTAGAAAATAATGATGTTTGCTATTCTTTATTGACTTGTTTTGCCATTGTCTAAAATATTTTTCTTGATAAATTATATTACTCAAAATTGGCAGTTAAAAGGTACTAAAGAAACAGTATCCTTTTATATTTTTCTGTTTCATTCCTTACCAGAGTCATAAACAGTTTTTCCTAATATGTGATCCAGAATGTATTTATGCTTTGATTTATTTTTAGCTGTTTGCTTAAATTAGATCTGATCCATTTCATCATTCAATTTTAAGAACATGTCAACATCCAGATATAGTGAGTTCTTTTTAAGTTAAAAATAACAATAAAACAGAATACTAATTTGTTATAACTTAAACAAAATATCTAGCAAGCGAATGTAATATGTGTCTTTTAAAATACAGAGCAATCATTCTGGATCAATGGTTAAATTAGTGTCTCAATTGAATCAAATTTAACTTAGAATTTTTTTTCTTCTCTTACCTTTTAAAGAAGGCTCCATTCACCTAATTTTAAATTAGACAAGCAGATATACATTACAATCACACATTAAAGTGGATATTTTATGCTTTCAGAAGAGAAGACATTAATTCAAAAGAGAAATAATAAAATCTGCTCTTCTTTTACCTCTAGGATTCTAGGTTGGTAAAACACTGATCATTATTAGTACTGTTGTGAGTTTCTTCCCTTTTCTTTCATCTAACTGGCTTATTTATGCATCTTCAAGTGAAATAGTGGAGCTTTCACAGTTAAATCTTGTTGCTATTGACAACCAAGCAGCCATGCAAGAAAGAGAATGCTGTGAAAGGGAAGAAAAAATAAAAAATAAAAAACTTAATATTTCCTTCTCAAAGTTGGAGAGAAAAGGGAGCATACATACAATATATAAGAAACAGGTAAGTAAAGATGTATCGGTTTAAACTTCACCAACCTTGATTATTAATTGATCAAAAGTTTTGATTTTTTTCAGATGTTTTGTCCAACATTCATTTAAATAAAAGGATACTGTCTCTAGGAACCAAAAATTAACTTTCTGAAAATGAAAATTGGATTGGAAGATACAGTGTCACAAAAGGTCTGAAATATTTTTATTAGAATTTGGACTATAAAAGAATAGCATAACTTCAATTATTGGTTAATATTTTTGTTACAAATGGTTTTTAATAACAAAATGGTGACTAAAATATTACTATTTTAAACATGTCCTAGATTTTTTTTTTGTTTCAGAAAAGCACTGAAAGTTGAATATGTGTAAGTCTCCGGGAATGTAACAAGTTGATAAATACCCAAGTCCAGCCTCCTTACAGAGAAAAGATCTCGAATTTCTTTTTTTGGACATTTGTTTTGCAGCTTTCTACGTCTTAAGGCAGAGAATAGCCAGGATAAGGTGCCAGCTCAAAGGTTAGATGATCATATTTCTTGAAATAATTTTGGCTAATCTATGTCTTGAAAGGCATAACTTCTAAATAATAACTTTAAAAGCTATAAAGTACTTAACATTAGTTGTGTTTTTGAGTTGCTTTTTTGGGAAGTCAATATTCCTTAGAGATGTGCTTATTCTGTTTATAATGATACTAAATTAATTTTAATTCAGTTATTACATTAAACTTTTCCCTTTCAGTTTACAATTGATTTCTCTTATTTATGAATCTAATAAATTGACCTCCATTCTAACCTAAAGGGCAGTTTATATTTTTAATACTTAAAGAAGCAAATGTAAAAAACAAAGTCTACCAAATGAAATTACTAACCAGCCTATCATTAACCTGAGGGAATTGTGTTTCATATTCATTAATTCTCCATGGAATACTTCAGGTAAGAGATATTTTTACTGTATAAAATCTACAAGCTGTTTACCAATGGATCTTCATGCTATTGCTTTGGTATATAGAGCATTCCTTGTTTGAAATATTTTGGGCAGTGAGTAATGTCACTGAACTAATCACACTATGACATTTTAGTGGAAATTTTTGGTGAAATATGTGAAATTCTAATGTTCAGTGAAATTCGTTCCAAGAAGACAATGTATTTTAAACTCATTGATTAAACTCTTATTATCACATGTCATAGAAAATGAGTATGATTTTAATTTTTAAAACATTTGGGAACAAATTTGATAGTACTAGAAATTAAAAAAATATATATTTTTTCAGGTTGACTTTAAAAGTTAGTATCAGTTAGTATCAGTTACAGGATTGACTGGTAGAGTACTGCTGAGGCCAAGGAGGCAATGCCAAGGAAAGAGTAGAATGTGTACTTGTCACCCACAGATTTGGGTTAGGAACCTGTTCCTGTGACTTGCCAGCAGTGAGAAACTAGACATTTTATTTTGCTTTTCAAGCCACAATTTTATAATCTTTAAACCTACTTTGCATTATAATTTCTAGCCATATAGAATAATTCTTGATAAATGTTTGCCGTTATTAGTGTGTAGAGAATACAAATGAAGAACTCTGAGCTGTGTTTTACTAGGGATAGACACGGGATACATAGTACATGTTTTTAAATACATTTTATTTACCACGCCCATTTTTGGGAACTAAATAATCAATTGGAAGCAGAAATTTTATCCAGTCATTCATTTCTAAAATAAAACTTTTCATCAGATAGCTGTCTGTGCTTCTTCACCATTTCTTTCCCATTTCTCTTATAATATTTATCTGCAAACCTCAGAGTGGAACAGTTTTGGTTATCTAGCAATGTTTGCACTTGGATAAGGAACCAAAAGGAAATAGAATTGAATTGTGGAAGCTTAACACTTAAGAGTTATGGTGATTTATCTGACAAGCATTTGAGAGCTTACTAGAGTCTGGGAGCTGCGTTAGGTGCTGGGAAGATATAAAGATTGATAAAACATGGATGCTTGCTTTCAAGGAATTCAATTTGGTAAGATGATTGACTCTTATTCCTTCTATGATTCTAAAATAGAAAATATGGACATAATATTGAGGGAATTCAGGGGAAGAACCACTGCTTGCTGAGGAGGATCAAGGGGAGAAGAGTTCATGGGCTCAGTGGTGTTCAGTTGATTCATTTGTTCAACCCACATGTATTGAGTGCTGTTACTGGCTAGATCTGGCTGATTTGCACCAGCAGGATACTGCAATCACCACTTCAGACATCATCCCAATAACATCGTGGTCAAAGAATGTCATTCACTATCAGTGTTTAAGACCCCCAGATAATGACAATACTGGATGAAAGGTGTGTTTTGACAGTGTATGTTTTAGTATAAGGTACTATGTGAGCACATATCAGGAGACATCTCAGATTGAGTGATGAGTTGGCATCCTGAAGGATCAGTAAATCAAAGGAAGGGCACTCTGAGAAGACAGAGTGTATTAAAATCAGAGACGCCAGGAAATGTAAGAACTTCAGTCCAGCAGTAGGTAAATGTTTGAAGGGTATCTGATGAGAAATGCAGTGGGAGATGTAGGAATAGACTGACTCGTAACAGTCTTTCATGCCAAACAGCTCGTTTTTTTAACCCAATGTTATAGGAGACCACTAAAGATTTTAAGCAGGGAAATTACAAATATTTCAAAGGATATAGTTGGTGAAAATGGGCCAGATCTAGCATGCAAGTGAATTTTGTTTTGCTCAGAGTTTTCACATTTTTTTTAAATACTTGCCAGTGTTTCACAGGAAACATGGTTATCAGGCTGTATTGAAAACCACTGGTTCTGCCTTGCTGTGTGGAATCTGTGGGCTGGAGCTTCTCAAGCAGTTGCCCCATTTAGAAAAAAAGCATGTGCTCCCCTTTTTACCATGGAACTCACTTCCTTCAGGACAAATGTCTCAGACCTGCAAGCATTTTGATGTTTGGGGCCAGTTTCTGAACTTCCTCTTTGGCAATTTAGAGAATAACTATAATTACTTGAGGTTCAGGACTAGAGGCTATTACTGTCAACCTGGTGAGAAACAGAGCTTGATTTTAAGTACTAGTAGTGGGAGCAAAAAAAGGACAGGTCTTGGAAGATTAGGTATGGGGAGGAAGCTGAGAATCTCATGGCATTAGACAGGGGTGGGACAAGATCGGCTGTCACTACAAACTGTGTTTTTGAGAAGCTTAACCTTTCTGAGCTACAGCTCCTTTTTGGTAAGATGGAGATCAGGCTATTACCTCATAGGATTTTTAATGAGGATCAAATGAGAAAATACTTATGGAGAACTAGGCTCCGGAACTGGCTCATATTCACGTTCAATAAAATATGGATGTGACGCTAGTGATGGTTGTGGAGAGTGCAGAAGATGGAACCAAGGGGCTCTCCCAAGTTTCTAACTTGTTATTTGGTGAGCTAGAAACACAGGAGAGGGTGCAAAGGATGATACCAATTTTGGATTTGTAACATTTGAAGTGCTTGTGAGACTGAAGTAGAAAGGTTTGTATGTGGAAATTGGATTTTAGAGTGGCATCTGAAGGGCATGAGAGAATTCAGCGTCCTTCCATCACCACCCTACCCAAACCTTCCTTCCTTTTCTCATCACAACTTCAGTCAGGGTTGATTGGCACAGCTGCCACCGTGGAGGATCGACCTACAGTAGAAGAAGAATGTGGGATATGTAAAATACTATGTTCCATGATAGTTTTAAGTTCTCAAAAAAATTCTTTCTGGTTTACCATTTTGGCCTACAGTTGAAATACAGTGTGAGATACAGTGTCTTAAAAATTTCTACCTCTATATAATGTATGACAGAAGTATGCCCAGAGGCTTATAGAAGCCCTGAAGAGATTATACACTCAATATTTGTTTGTACGGGGACTTAAAAAAAAAAAAAAAACACCCTCTACAAACCATATATCTTCTTCTCCTTTTGGTTGGTTTTATCTGTTTTCTCATTGTCACTCCCATTTCTAGGCAAATATTTGCCTGAAAGTGAATCATTGTTAGGAATGGATAACCACATTAGTTAAGTTTGTATTCTCTCCTAACTCAATCAGTACTGAGCTCACATGGCCCCTCTCTTATGCCTTTTCAGCTCTCAGTGGGAAATCTGTCCCTTCTCTACATGTTGTTATAACACTTGCAGAGAGCCTGTAATTTGGGTTGTTGTGGAACTGTATCATTTATTCTGCTGGAGTTTCGTTCCATGAAGGTGAGGACTGTGCCTCACACGTCTTTATACCCAGTGTAATAGCTCCTGAAATGGCTTGTCTGCTTCAGTTCAGTGTACTTTTAAAGGCATAAGGGCTAGGCATTTCTATATAAAATGAGTAAAAGATGATGAATAAGATGTGATTTTAATAAGTGGATTATATTATTTAGGAAATACATTTTTTATGCCTATCTAGTGACCTTGTTACGCATCATAGATCTTAACTCTTACGATTCTAAAAAGCACTTAGTTTATGTTCTTGAAAACATATAAGTGTAATCTGATTGTGTCATATACTGCTTACAGTCCACTGATAGTTCGCAATTATGGATAGAATCCTGACTTTAAGTACAAGCTCTTCAGGCTGACAGCTGCCTTAGGTTTGAAGAATTATCTTTTCACTCTACAGCCCGAGTCACAGTGGGCTGCCCTTGCATTTCAGAACCTCTGCAGCTTCATGCCTCTCTGGCTTTTCTTGTGCTGCTCATTCTGAGGGAAAAGTCCCTTCACCTATTACATAGTGAATTCCTACTCATCCTTTAAGATGCAGCTCACATTTCCTCTTGAAAGCCTTTCCTGGCATCCTTCCTACTCCTGCCTCCCTGCAGAGAAATTCTTTCTTCTCTGTTCTTTTAACACCTTGTACACCTGTCATGGCTGTCTTTGTCAGGAGACTGTAGTGTTTCAGAGTAGGTACTGTGTATGTAAAGAACTCAAAGTCTAGTGAAGGAACTAGATTTAAAAGCTACAAAAATACAGTGTTGAGATATGTATTATAAATTTCTACCCGTATATAATGTATGACAGAAGTATGTACAGAAGCTTATAGAAGCCCCAAAGAGACCATACACTCAACATAAGGCTAAGCAAATCTTGGAGATTGTAATGGTTAAACTTAGTGTTGAAGTCTGTCTGGATATGAGTCCAGCAGACAAGGGGAAGGATGGCATTCTCTGTGACAGTGTGCTGGTATTAGTGTAACTTCCTGGGAACTGCAGTTAGTTAGTGCATTTGCGTGTGTGTTGGAGATGAAGCTGGAGGAATAGGCAGAAGTCAGATCACAAAATATGGTACCGAATGCCATGCTTAGTGTTTGATCTCCTATCATGAGCTAAGTGATGGGGAGCCAGTGAATGGGTGTGGGAAGAATAATACCACGCTGAGAACATGGATCAGTGAGTTCCCTCCAACAGCAGTGTAGAACTAAATTGAAGTCCACAGTGCTGGAGGGGCAAAGACCATTATGCTCTCACTTATTTCACGAGTCTCTTCTTGATGAGCATTTAGGTTGTTTTCAAACTTCT